TTCCTTCCTTCCTTCCTTCCTTCCTTCCTTCCTTCCTTCCTTCCTTCCTTCCTTCCTTCCCATGGTGGCACAGTGGCTAGAATGCAGCATTGCAAGCTAACTCTGCCCACTGCCAGGAGTTTGATCCTGACTGGCTGAAAGGTTGACTCAGCCTTCCATTCTTCCGAGGTGGGTAAAATGGGGACGCAGGTTGTTGGGGAGGCCATAGGCTGACTCCGTCAACCGCTTAGAGAGGTCTGGAAAGCCCCGTGAAGCGGTATAGAAGTGCTATTGCTATTTTCTTTTTTGGCCCCCAGGCTGCTGCTGAGTCAGCGGAAGCCCAGACCATCCGGTCTGTCCAGCAGACTCTGGCCTCCACGAATTTGTCTTCTTCCTTGCTTCTGAACAGCCCTCTTTCGCAACACGCCACGGCCGTCGCCTCCCCGCAGACTCTCCAGCAACCCCTCCCCAGGGCCATTGCCCCCAAGCCTTTAACCATGCGGCTGCCCGGGAATCCCGCCGTGGCCCCCGCCTCCATCACCCCGACAAACATTTCCCCCTCGCTGATCAGCTCCATGGCCGGCAGCCTGGCCGCCACCCCGGCCTCGGCCCCCTCCCAGGCCAGCACTTCCTTGCAAAGCCAGCCGCAGCACCAGCTCCAACAGCTCCAGCAGCTGCAGCTCCAGCAAATGCAGCAGCAGCAGCTGCACCAGCAGCAGCTGCACCAGCAGATCCAGCAGCAGATGCAGCAGCAGCATTTCCAGCACCACATGCAGCAGCAGATGCAGCAGCAGCTGCAGCAGATCCAGCTCCAGCAGTTGCACCAGCAGCAGTTGCAACAGATGCAGCAGCAGCAGCAGCAGCACCCGCCGCAGCCTTCCCCGCAGCAACTTTCCCCGGCTTCCTCGCAGATCACCTCGCCGATAGCGGCCATTGGCAGCCCACCCCCAGCCAGCCAGCCGCACCCATCCCAAATACAAGGCCAGACACAGACTCAGCTCTTATCGCAGGCCGGTATTTTCTGAAGACGCACCGAGTCGCCCGGGCTTTGCGTCCCGGAGGAAGCGAAGCGGTGAATCGGGCAGAAACTGCGTAGGGTCAACGGAGAGTTTATGCAGGAACGCATAACACATAAAAGAGACTTCTAAGCTGTCTATTAGATAGGCAATAAAAGAACTACAGTGTAGCTGGGTATAATCCTTTAGCTGAATTATAAATATTTTTTTTTCCAGCGTCCCCTTCCCCCTTCTCTTCCTCCTTCCCTTCCCTTCCTCCATTCCCCTTCTCTCTTCCCTTCCCTTCCCTTCTTTCCCCCCTTCCATTCCTCCTCCCCCTTCTCTTCCCCCTTATCCCTCTTCCCCTTCCTTCTCTTCTTTTCCCGCTTCCACCTTATCCTTCTTCCCTTCCCTTTCCCTTCCTTTTCTCTTTTGTTTTTTAGGCAAATAAGCTGTGCTCTTTTTTCCCACTTCTTTTTTTAATGTGGCCCATTTAAAAAAATATATATATTCCAAGCTTTACTGACAATATGCGAACTGAATAGTCTTAAATGCCCAGGCAAGAAGACTGAGAGATAAAAAAAAAATGGCCTTTTTACAGTTTTCCAATTAAAACTGTTTCTTCTTCCTGCAAAATTGGCAGACCAGTTAGGTTTTGGAATTAATTTGAACCCACGAAGCTCTTAAAAGCACAGTTGTAACTACCTGTAAAATGTTGATTGGATTTCATACAATCATGCTTCTACGACATGAGTAGCTGACGGTGTTTTTCTATCATGGATAATAATGATGTAAAAGAAATATCACAGACTTTTGCCAAAGCTTTTTTTTTTTTCCTTTTTAATAATGTCTTCTGAAGTTCATCAACATCGAAAGCCATCTTCTCATTTTACTATGTTTGTTTTTTTTCAATTTCTCCAATACTTTGGAATAAAACACACAGTTCAGTTCTGCTCATAACCACCCATGAAAAAGAAACTGAATATTCTATTCTGTGTTTGGGTGAACTTTCAGATTTAATACACTGTATTTTTTTAAAAAAGGAAATGCACTTAAATAAACTGTTATTACAAAAAAAAGTAAGAAAAATGTTGAGTTTTTAAAATATGATGTAATATTGGTAGATTATTTAAAGGGGATTGCCACATCTGAATAATCAGTGTAAATATTTTCTTTAAAAGGTTGTAAGTTTTCAGATCATGTGTTGTAAAGTTTTCATAAATGAGGCTTTAATGTAAACACTGGTAACATGAATGATTTAATTGCGGCATTGCTTATTGTGTTTTTATGCTGTTTTATACTTTTTTATGAGTTACGATAGCAATTAAGTTGTTTGTATTTTGTTTATCTAAACAAATGCTTTTATCTTGCTATAGAATAAACACATTTCAGGAAAAAAAAACAACTGCCACCACCAACCAGCTTTGCAAAATTTTAATTAGCACTGAATATGGAATATGGATGGAACATTTTATGGGCCCATCTGGTGACAACATTGGCCTCCCAGAAGGTTACAGAAGAATAGAATAGAATAGAATAGAATAGAATGGAATGGAATGGAATGGAATGGAATAGAATAGAATAGAATAGAATAGAATAGAATAGAATAGAATAGAATAGAATA